AAAGGTTCCAGCGTTAAGATAAAGATAAGAGGAGAAAGGGGGCAAAATATGTATTTGTGATGCCATCATAGAAGTCTTAAAAAGATCTTAAAAAGTTGATTGGAGAGGGGAAAACATATAAAGAAGTGCAGAAAATGATAGGCTGCTCAGCTAAAATATTCGCAAATGCTTTAAAATGGCAACCAAAACCTGAAAGACGTGGAAGAAAGCGAAAAACTACCATTCGAATGCATAGAAGAATAGCCAAAATGGCAAGGAATCAGCTCCAGGAAGATCAAAGAAGGTCTAGTTACCTGTGAGTACTGTTACATTTAGAAGATGCCTATTTGAAGCCAAGCTATCTGCAAGAAGCCCCCGCAAAGTCCCACTGCTGAAAAAGAAGACATGTGCTGAAGAGGTTACAATTTGCCAAAGAGCACATTGACTGGCCTAAAGAGAAATGGCACAACATTTTGTGGACTGATGAAAGTAAGTTTGTTCTTTTTGGGTCTAGTGGCCGGAGACAGTTTGTCAGACGACCGCCAAACACTGAATTCAAGCCACAGTACACTGTGAAAACAGTGAAGCATGGTTGCGCAAGCATCATGATATGGGGGATGTTTCTCATACTACGGTGTTGGGCCTATTTATCGCATACCAGGGATCATGGATCAGTTTGAATACATCAGAATACTTGAAGAGGTCATACTGCCTTATGCTGAAGAGAAAATGTCCTTAAAATGGGTGTTCCAACAAGACAACGACCCCAAACACACCAGTAAACGTGCAACATCTTGGTTCCAGACCAACAAGATTGGAGTGGCCAGCCCAATCCCCGGATCTTAATCCAATAGAAAACTTGTGGGGTGACATCAAAAATGCAGTTTCTGAGGCAAAACCAAAAAAATAGAGAAGAATTGTGGAATGTAGTCCAATCATCCTGGGCTGTTCACAGGTGCCAGAAGTTGGTTGACTCCATGCAACACAGATGTACTGCAGTTCTCAGAAACAGTGGTTATACAACTAAATATTAAGTGACTCAAAGGAAAGCAAAATCTTCAAACCATATATTAAATAGTGAAGCGCTCCCAAACTACCTAAGAAAAATCCCTCTATACATACCATAAATACCAACTGAACTTAAAAGTAATCGATACCATAAGGTGATGAAAAACATAAAAACTAAATCTATTAGTGAAAATACATAAACACCTCTCTTAATATCAATTAATAATGCCTCATAATTAATCTGTGATGGAAAATAACAAATATGAAATTCATGAAAAATACTCAAATATTAGTGATAATAATAGTACTAATTCATGTGACAAATCGTGATAAATTGTGACAAACCTATAAATCAAATAAATAGTGATTCTACAAAAAATAAATAGATAAATAAATAAATATGCAATACATATATCCTGTGATAAAACCCTATAACAAATTAAATTAAATAGATAACTACTTAATTCTGTGAAAAAATAAATAAACTCAGTGTCCAAAATATACTCAAAAAGTCCATGCAAATTGTGAAAACACTCTGTGATCTTCACTTCTAGTGCTCAAAAAGGAATCCTCCAATGGCAGCAATGCCTGCTCACCTCCCCTCCTCGACCCACACAGGGCCACAAGGCAAAAAAACTCCCCTCAAAGGCAATCCTTTATTCCAGGCAGCTCAGCAAGGGACCTCAGGACTTCCACTCCACCTCCTCTCAAACGTCATATAGGACACAAACAAAAGCTTCCCATAGTGTAATACCGTTTAATAGGAGTAATTTGGCATAACATATTTTTCCCACTCACATGTAATCCTTGTAAACAGCGCTTTCCACCTCACATCATGGGTGTATTCACATACAGGGAGGGAAACAAATATGGCCGCTGCATCCGGACAAACGTCCCCACGTGACCGGAAGTGACGTAATCTCGAACTGGGAATGGGAAAATCTTCAAACATTTTTCAGTTTATATAGTGAATGTTTGAGTTTGTAAAGAAGAATACAAACACTGCTATTATTTTGAACAGTCTAATATTCACTTTTCTTAATTTTTTTTAGAGGAACAACAAAAATTTGATATATTTTTCTTCATGTTTTGATTTGGAATAGAATGTGTAGTGCTCCCAATGCATTTGTGTGTATGGAAATAAAAGGTATTAGAAGGATTTTGAGCTTTATTCACTTTTTTCAACACGCTGCTATTATTTTGAACACAACTGTACCTACTTTAATCAGCCACTACGCTTAACGGGATAGTTTCGCGTAACATCATTAATAATAAGATCTCTCTATTTTTCTGTTTTTCTTTCTCATGCAATGTATTCATTATTATTATTATTTTTTTAATGTGCATTTTAATATATTTTAATTTAAATTGAGTTTTATAATGTATTATACTTCTATGATGGCATCACAAATACATATTGTTTATTTATTCTGATGACACCTTGGCCCCTCCTCCCAGCCTGAGACTGCCCAACCCAGAGGGGAGGGCCAAACTTTAGTCCTTGGGTATATATGGGTGTGAGCACTCATAGTTTAGTTAGCTCTGATGAAGAAGGGATGCCCTTCGAAACTCGTCAGCTGTACTCTGAGTGTCTACCCCTATGATGGGACTCACGCAGGCTTCCTAACTTTCAGGTTCCTTTGAGGACTTGCATGCTTGAATTACTTCGCTGTTTGTGAGTATCATTTTGTATTCAATAAATTTTGGTTACTGAGGTAATGCGCAAGGTTGGTGTGCTTCTCTTTTTTGTTTGGCTTTGCAGTACTGGTCGGGCTTCCCCAGCCTTGTTTGGAGCTGCACAATCCTATATGCACAGGTGGTCGAATCTTCCAGTTCTGGTTCCATCTATTCACCTGGGTCTCAGAGTGCAGGAGAGTTCATTTCTGGTTTATTGACATGGTTTTTGCGGCTCTTGAAGCCTAGACTCAGCACTGAACACCTCTGGCTTTAGTAGACTATTCTGCTTCAGTATTTCAGTATTCATCTAAAGACTCACTAGACTGTATAATCATGGTCCTATCTATTAAAGAAAGGGAAGTTAGAAGAACTTCTCTAGCGAAAGGATTTACCGTATTTCGCACTCCATAATACGCACCTGACCATAAGACACACGAAGAAGAAGCCACGTGATCGTGGCGCAACGCGTCAACGTATTTCCGGTCATAGGGGTGACGTACTTCCGGTTTCGGACGCCATCTTGGTACACCTGAGTATACCCATAGCACATGGGAACTGCCTCTCTCTGTTGGAGTACATTGTTGCACTATGGAGGTCTGCTCTTCTCTTGCATATGCGCCCTGTTTGTGAGGGAAGGTATTTGAGAGGAACCCATAGCTTGGAGGAGGATCTTGATTTAAGTCGGTGGAGGCAGTGGAGTATCAATATCCTGGCAGAGATATATATTATATATATAAAGCCTTGTGACCCGCAAGGGTCGAATATTGAAGGTGAGGGGGGCACTTTGGCTATTTATGAGGGGAGTCACTTCAAGAGTCACGAAGAGCACAATGGCAGCATGGAGTGAAATCATTACCACAGTGTATTGAACACTTTTATTATTTTACACAGTGTGGCATCACTAATAAAATTTTTGGATTTGATCTTGCATTATATTTTGTTTAATATTTGTCACTTTGCACAGTCTAAGTGTCATTCTGTTGAATATCACTATTTACCACTAGGGGGTGTATAATTTATGTGGGGGATTTTGCACTATATATGTTTGTAGATTGATTATTATTTTGAAGGATATAAGTTGAGCGCTTCATCATTTATATTATTTGCAAAAAGCATGATTGATCCAACCTAATGCTTAACAGTTGGACAGAGGTTCTTTTCATTAAATTCTGTGCCCCTTCTTCTCCAAACGTACCTTTGCTCATTCCGGCCAAAAAGTTCAATTTTAACCTCATCGGTCCACAGAACTTGTTTCCAAAATGCATCAGGCTTGTCTATATGTTCATTTGCAAAGTTCAAACGATGATTTTTGTGGTGAGGACGTAGAAGAGGTTTTCTTCTGATGACTCTTCTACGAAGACCATATTTGTACAAGTATCTCTTTATAGTGGTACCACAACTCCAGTGTCTGCCAGATCTTTCTGGAGGGATCGTGCAGTCAAACGTGGGTTTTGAATTGTTTTTCTCACAATCCTGCGAGCTGTTCGGTCTGATATTTTCTTGGTCTTCCAGATCTTGCTTTAACTTCCACTGTTCCTGATGACTGCCATTTCCTTATTACATTCCGAACAGAGGATATTGACATCTGAAAACGCTTTGCTGGCTACAAAAAGCGTTTACAAGCTGTGATACTTGCCAAAGGGGGCAGTACAAGATATTAACTCTGCAGGGTGCCCAAACTTTTGCAGGCGCCATTTTTTTGTTTTCTGTTACTTTGAAAGTGTAAATGATGGAAATAAAATCTAACTTTTGTTGACATATTATAAGAATGTCTAATCTGTAATTTGATGCCTTTTGGAGATTTTTCCATCTTTCCTTGGCTTCTTTATGCACATTAATACAAATTTTTAGCTGGGGTGCCCAAACGTTCAATCCCCACTGTATATTATTTATTAAGTATTTCTATGCATCTAGGCTCAATTTTTTTTACAGTTCTATGATTTATTACACATGCACATTCACATATACACATCCAGCTCCATGGTTGTATATCAAGCCCATCCCCTTGCTTGTATATGTGCATTCTCACACACATACACACATATCTGCTCCCCCTGGTGGTACAGTGGCAATTAGTCACTTCCCAGTGGCATTCCCTTGTATTGAGCCAGTGCATCATCTGCTCAATTTATATATACAATATAATTTCATCATTCTTTTATTACATTATTTTTTATTACATCATATTTATATACCGTATTTTTCCCTCCATAAGACGCACTTTTTTCCCCCCAAAAAAGGGGGGAAAATGTCAGTGCGTCTTATGGAGCGAATGTAAAGTGGCCGGTCCGGTATTTCTGCCACCACCATGTCAGAATATCGGGCCGGCCGCTTAGCTCTTCTCTCCTGCAGGACCTTACCTGTTCCTCGCTCCAGCGCTGCAGTCTTTCCACGGCTGCTTCTGTGACAACTGGGTGCCCAATGCGCATGCGCGAGAAGCGCCGCGCTTTGTGAATGGTCCGGTACCCGCTCCCCCTCCCTCCCCAAAGGTCCGCAGTCTCTGGTAATCTCCTTTACTAACTGCAGACTCTGGTCATCCCCTGCACTGTCTGCAGTCTCTGGTCTTCTGTACCGTGTCCGCAGTCTCTGGTCATCTCCTGTACCGTGTCCGCTGTCTCTGGTCATCCCCTGTACCGTGTCCACAGTCTCTGGTAATCCTCTGTACCGTGTACGCAGTCTCTGGTCATTCCCTGTACCGTGTCCGCTGTCTCTGGTCATCCCCTGTACCGTGTCCGCAGTCTCTGGTCATCCCCTGTACCGTGTCCGCAGTCTCTGGTCATCTCCTGTACCGTGTCCGCAGTCTCTGGTCATCTCCTGTACCGTGTCCGCAGTCTCTGGTCATCTCCTGCACCGTGTCCGCAGTCTCTGGTCATCTCCTGTACTGTGTCCGCAGTCTCTGGTCATTTCCTGTATTGTGTCCGCAGTCTCTGGTCATCTCCTGTACTGTGTCCACAGTCTCTGGTCATCTCCTGTACTGTGTCCACAGTCTCTGGTCATCTCCTGTCTGCAGCAGGGGCGGACTGACCATTTGGAAACTCGGGCACTGCCCGAGGGCCCGGGGTCAGTAGGGGGCCCCATGAGATGCCCCTGGTACCTTTTTCATAGGCTTTTTTGAGTTTGGGCAAGGACACAGGGGCCCCCATGATCCCCTATTGCCCAGGGGCCCCATGAGTTGTCAGTCCGCCCCTGGTCTGCAGTCTCTGGTCATCTCCTGTACCATGTCCGCAGTCTCTGTTCATCTCCTGTACCGTGTCCGCAGTCTCTGGTCATCTCCTGTACAGCCGGGTGCCCAATGCGCATGAACGAGAAGCGCCGCGCTTTGTGAATGGTCCGGTGTCTTCTGGGACACATGACAGGTCCCAGAAGGCTCCGGGCCATTCACAAAGCGCAGCGCTTCTCGTGCATGCGCAGTGGGCACCCGGCTGTCATAGAAGCTGCTGCGGAAAGAAGGAAGGACAACTCCGTGGAAATGGGAGCGGGTACCTGTCAAATTCAGGTACCCGCTCCCCCTCCCTCCCCAAAGGTCTGCAGTCTCTGGTAATCTCCTTTACTGTCTGCAGTCTCTGGTCATCCCCTGCACTGTCTGCTGCAGTCTCTGGTCATCCCCTGTACCGTGTCCGCAGTCTCTGGTCATCCCCTGTACCGTGTCCGCAGTCTGTGGTCATCCCCTGTACCGTGTCCGCAGTCTGTGGTCATCCCCTGTACCGTGTCCGCAGTCTGTGGTCATCCCCTGTACCGTGTCCCTCTGGTCATCCCCTGTACCGTGTCCGCTGTCTCTGGTCATCCCCTGTACCGTGTCCGCTGTCTCTGGTCATCCCCTGTACCGTGTCCGCAGTCTCTGGTCATCTCCTGTACCGTGTCCGCAGTCTCTGGTCATCTCCTGTACCGTGTCCGCAGTCTGTGGTCATCTCCTGTACCGTGTCCGCAGTCTCTGGTAATTCCCTGTACCGTGTCCGCAGTCTCTGGTCATCTCCTGTACCGTGTCCGCAGTCTCTGGTCATCTCCTGTACCGTGTCCGCAGTCTCTGGTCATTTCCTGTACCGTGTCCGCAGTCTCTGGTCATCTCCTCTACTGTGTCCACAGTCTCTGGTCATCTCCTGTATTGTGTCCGCAGTCTCTGGTCATCTCCTGTACTGTGTCCGCAGTCTCTGGTCATCTCCTGTCTGCAGCAGGGGCGGACTGACCATTTGGAGGGCCTGGGGTCAGTAGGGTGCCCCATGAGATGCCCCTGGTACCTTTTTCATAGGCTTTTTTGAGTTTGGGCAAGGACACAGGGGCCCCATGATCCCCTATTGCCCGGGGGCCCCATGAGTTGTCAGTCCGCCCCTGGTCTGCAGTCTCTGGTCATCTCCTGTACCGTGTCCGCAGTCTCTGTTCATCTCCTGTACCATGTCCGCAGTCTCTGGTCATCTCCTGTACTGTGTCCGCAGTCTCTGGTCATCTCCTGCCCTATGTCCACAGCCTCTGGTCATCCCCTGTACTGTGTCCACAATCTCTGGTCATCCCCTGTACTGTGTCTGCAGTCCATTGGTTCAGAATATTTTTTTTCTTGTTTTTCTCCTCTAAAACCTAGGTGCGTCTTATGGTCAGGTGCGTCTTATGGAGAGAAAAATACGGTATATAGTTTTTTATTATATTATTATAATATTACCACTTTACATTTGTAGTTTTATATATATTTTTTACAATTGCACCTTTTACAACATTCTTGTTGGTGTAGAAGTCAACACCCCATAGGATTAGGCACAACAAGGGTTAAGCAGTCACATTCCAAGGAAAGGATTTCCCAAAACACTCTCCCAGCAGGTGCCTCCTCAGTATAGTGTTCAGCAGGAGACCTGGGGGCTGGCCGAGTGCAGCAGCGCCGCCCCACACACGTGCAGTGACCCGTCGGATCTGCGTTCCAGGATGACTCCGCTGGATCAGACATTTCGTACTGCGCATGCGTGTGCTGGACCACGCATGCGCAGTCACTACCACGCTGCATTGGCGTGCGGTTCACACACACTATCAGTCTGAAGCCATATTGGGAGGCACGAGATCTCCCTCTGCTGCTGATTAACAAATATTACCTATTTGTATTATCCATCATTTTAACCTTGGATGTGGAATCTCCACTACTTTACAAACAAGTACACGCAGCCGCCTGGTAATATATGTTGCACTATATTTGATCATTCTATTATTCACAATTATTTTTGATATATATATTTAATTATATTTATTCATTGACCTATATATATCTATAATTTATTCAATTATAACTAGTACTCCAGATGAATTGTTAATTTCCATTTTAAACACCTTTTATTAATAATTTAACAATTTTTATCCATCTCTATTCCAAATATAAGTATAAGTGCTTTTGAATATATATATTTATTTGTACATGCCCAACCCAGAGGGGAGGGCCAAACTTTAGTCCTTGGGTATATATGGGAGTGAGCACTCATAGTTCAGTTAGCTCTGATGAAGAAGGGATGCCCTTCGAAACGCGTCAGTGGTACTCTGAGTGTCTACCTCTATGATGGGACTCACGCAGGCTTCCTATCTTTCAAGTTCCTTTGAGGACTTACATGCTTGAATTACTTCGCTGTTTGTGAGTATCACTTTGTATTCAATAAATTTTGGTTAATGTATAGACTGTATAGCGAGCGCTACTGCAACAAAAATATATGCAAATTATGTATAAAAGCCGCTAGAACACCAAAAAGGCAACCAAAAAGACCTTCCAGAGAACTATAGAAATAATAAAGGTGCAGTGCTGAGAATAGGAGTAATATCATGCAAATGTCAGCAGAAAATGAGATATATAATGTGCAAAATTTGTTATATGGAGCACAATGTGGAATGTATAATTGTTAATGATCACAATTCAATATAATGTCCAGATACCAAGGAATGTGACATAAGGATCTTGCAGAGTCCCGTCTAACGGTGATAATATGTGATCCAGAGGTGAAGATAATTAAATAGGTAGAATGCGCACTCACCAGATGTGCGTATCAGATATGCATGAAAGAAGTTTCCTTTGCCATCAGATACATCTAGGTCATCAGCATTCTGGTCAGGCTGCATTCCCTAACATCCTTTGGTCATCCGTTATAGCAAGGCTCCAGGGTTCATCAGACAATCACAGAATATCCGGGGTCCCCCTTTAAGGTGGGCACTGCGGAGGGTGGTGCTCATAAAGAGAGCCCAATAAGGGACACCACATAGTGTGATACTGTATAAATGAACTTTTATTCCAAATGTAGGTAAGTAGAAAACAAAATAGTACTGACCGAAAATTCAGGATGGCCACCAGCGGTGGCTAGATGTCCAAATGCTGTACCCCCCTGACGCATTTCGTGCTAAGCACGTACTCATAGGGTGCAGGGCTTACAGCAGGACATCCGTGTAGAGCTATTTATATTCAAAACTGGTGTTCGCGCTTATCGCGCCCGCCATTTTGCCAGCGACCGGCGCATGCGCAATACGCCGGCTCCATTTTGCCGTGGATCGCAGTAATATGCAATCTTCTTCCCTCTTGTCACGTTATGTGCACATTACGGTGCAATTTTGTTGGAGGGAAGAGAAGCATATAACCCATTTATGAGTCAGAAAACGGATCCATTTAGAACTGTGGCAAAATAACAAAACTGGGATAAATAAACAGGATTGGTATCCTTTAGTAATAGTGTAATGGAAGGGCAGTGAAAGGGGAAATGGTAACTTATAAAACCTTATATACCCCTACATAGATGTGTTCATAGATATGTAAAAATTGCATATATATTAAAATATGCGATGCCCACCCATTTACACATATACATGAATTCAATATAGTAATCATGTATAAAATATGTGTAATTAAAATGGATAAATGATTCGTCAAATTAACGTATGTTCCCAAGTGTGACATCAATTAATGGATGTCAAGTTTTGCGCAAACAATAAATACTTCTAAAAAAAGGAATATATATAGCAAATGTACAGTAAATTATGTCAATCAATACATAAGTTAAAATCATGGTCAGTAAAATATACAAGGTCAGTAAAATGTACATAATTAATAAAAATATACACATAATTAATGATATAAAAATATACAATAATTCACAATAAATATCCATAAATGTGATAAAAAAGGATAAAACATATCATAGAGTTGCAATGACGGGTTAGCTCGGCAGCGGGTGTGTGTGACCCCCTGGATGGGTGCACAACACAAAAAAAAATAGGCACAGCACAACAATAGTGGAGGTGAAAACAAACAGGTGCAATTTATTTACAATATTTACAGAAAAAATGATAAACAAAAAAGAAACATCAAAATAAATCCTGGCCAACTTGGCTACTTACTGCAACAACAGCTTCTCCCTAGCTACCCACTAGGTACAGCCTGCTGCTATACCTAGTTGCTAGTACTTGGAGGCTAGCCACACAGGCTTTGGTCTCTCTGCACACAGGTAACAGGTCAGCTCCCCAGACAGTTCAGGCACAGATCTGGTTCCAGGGTGGAGCAACTCCCTAAGCACTCTGGGAGGTTTTATAGAGGTGTTTAATGAGCCCACTACCTTCAGCTGGGCTCATTACCTCAGTGCTGAAGGACTCAGCACTTCCCTCTAGTGGTACAAATCCCCATAAAGCCTGAACCTTGGACAAATATATCGTCCATCCAGGACGCAACCAGGTGATTTCACCTGCCTACTGTCACATACCCCCCCCTCTTGTTTCAACCTTGGGGTTGTAACACCAGTAGCCAGGCAGGCATGTACCCGGGATAAAGCATCCACATTTCCCATCTGAACACCAGGGCGATGCTTCACCGTGAAGGTAAATTCCTGTAGGGCCAGAAACCACCTATTTACCCTTCTATTGGTCTCCTTATTTTGAGCCATCCATTTCAAGGGAGCGTGATCTGTGATCAGGTCAAAATGTCTGCCCAGCAGATAGTACCGAAGGGAATCTAGGGCCCACTTCACCGCTAAACACTCCTTCTCAATCGTGGCGTAATTTTCCTCGTGAGACTTTAGCTTTCGGCTGAGATAGATTACTGGGTGCTCCTCCCCCTGCCAAACCTGGGACAGCACTGCTCCTAAGCCAACATTGGATGCATCCGTCTGGACCACAAAGTCTTTTGAGAAGTCTGGGGAGTATAGGACTGGCTGGCTACATAAGGCCCTTTTTAAAGACTGGAAGGCTGCTTCAGCATCAGGGGACCACTTAACCATGACAGGCTCCTTCCCTTTTGTCAGGTTGGTTAGGGGTACTGCCATAGAAGCAAAATGGGGAATGAATCGCCGATAGTAGCCAGCAATTCCTAGAAAAGCCCGTACCTGCTTTTTGTTATTTGGGCGTGGCCAATTCTGTATTGCTTCCACTTTGTTTATCTGAGGTTTTATTACCCCTCTCCCAATAGTGTACCCCAGGTACCTGGCCTCCTCCTGTCCAATCGTACACTTCTTTGGGTTGGCCGTAAACCCAGCTTTCCGTATTGAGTCTAGCACAGCCTGAACTTTTGGCAAATGTGAGGCCCAGTCTGCGCTATGGATAATCACATCGTCCAAGTACGCTGCAGCATACTTCTGATGGGGACGAAGAATCTGATCCATTTTTCGCTGAAAGGTGGCCGGTGCATTCTGTAACCCGAACGGCATTCTTTTATACTGGAATGACCCTTCTGGGGTTACAAATGCAGTCTTCTCCTTTGCCGACTTAGCTAGGGGAATTTGCCAATAACCTTTTGTCAAGTCTAGCGTTGTCATGTACCGGGCTGCTCCCAGTCGGTCGATTAGTTCATCTATCCTTGGCATGGGGTAGGTGTCAAATTTTGTAACTTTATTCAACTGTCGAAAGTCGTTACAAAATCGCCAGCTCCCATCTGGTTTGGGCACCAACACTATGGGGCTGGACCAGTCACTTTGGGACTCCTCTATCACCCCCAAATCTAGCATTCTCTGTACTTCCCCACGTATTGCCTCCCGTCGAGCCTCTGGGATTCTATAGGGTTTCAGTTTTACTCTTTCACCCGGTGGGGTGATAATGTCATGCTCCACCCCCGAGGTTTGTCCCGGCAGCTCAGAAAAAACATCTGTGTTGCGGAGCACAAACTCTTTAGCCTCCTGTTTTTGAACTGTAGACAGCGTGACTGCTATTCCAACCTCCGGAACCAAGCAGTTAGATGGCGCTGGTGACAAACCCTCAGCAACTAGGGATTCCCTGTCCCTCCAGGCCTTTAGCAGATTAATGTGGTAGATCTGCTCCGGTTTCCGCCTTCCTGGTTGTCTGACCCTGTAATTCACTTCACTCACTTTCTCAATCAC